ATCTAGTACAAGGTCATTTGCTTTGAGCAGCTTTATGGGAGCTTAGTGATGAATTCAGCTGGGAATTTTTATTGCGTAGGGACAGTCTTCTCCATAATATTCTAACATTCAGTGTAACCAGAAGATACTTCTAAACAGTGAAATTACATATTTAAGTGTTCAGGAAGAGTAATTTTCAAAAGCAAAAGGGAAGTATGACCAAAACTAACTGGAAATGGAAGTGTAAACAACAATAACAAACAAGAACAAGAAGGATTTTTTGAAGATGATAGTAAAAGTATATCCTGTGTCACCGTTGAGACAGAATCAAATAACATAGAATGAAAGGCAGCTAGTTATGAAGTGTAGGGAAATTGGAGAAACTAAAGGTCAGGGGCAAATACGATGTCTGCTCGGCCATAAGACTTGTTAAGTGAAAAGGGAGTGAGTATTGGTATAGTGATGTTTCCATTGAAATGAAATTCTGTTTTAAAGGGAAGCAGTAAAACATTTTCCACTTTGGTATCACGTGATTTCATGAAGTGTCAGCCAATACATATAGAATATAGTATATACATATACCATAGAGGAAAATAGCAAGTCAGCAGTTGGTAACTTTATACCATTTGAAACGTCTCCTAGCTTTAAGTAGAATTTTCAGAATAGCTGCTTTTGTAATTAGTACCTGAAGACCTTGGGAGATAGAGTTGGTGCCTTTATGATACTATAGTCTTTTCTTTCTTGTTTCATATATTAGCATCAAATTTTTTCATGGCAGGAATATAAGGAATTATTTCTGTCTAAAACTATGCATCAGGTATTGGTAGCTAACAGATCTCCATTAACTTTTATAAAACGAAATACAGAGACTATATTGTACGCAGTGCTGATATGACATGCAGTTGACATGGTAGAAGGCATCTTGTTACATTGTTGTGTGCATCAGTTTTTAAATTGTAGTTTCCCAGTTGAGGAAAATGCCAAGTTTTATCTGATTCAGTTAATATAAAATTCATATACTTAAGCTTTTTTGCTTTACTGGCTATGTAAACACATGGAAAACTAAAAAATGTTGGGTGAGAGGATATCGATCTATTTCAGCTGCTTTAGAGCAAAATGAGAACCAGTTTTTCAGATTTGACATACTAGGGTTTATGTAGCAGTATGGCACATGGTAGCATTTGCTGTGGCATGGAAGTGGTTACCGCTCACTAGAATGGAGCCCTGTGAATGTCCTTCTGCAGTGTCATCATCCAGAACTGTGCTTGGTTTTCATCAGAATGTTTGTTACTATACAAGCTTTTCTGAGGCCCCATAAAATGGACAAATGTAGGCAGAGAACACTTGGAGAGGCACCAAGCAGAATGCTGACATAGTTCCTGAATTTTAACACTGATGATAACATCCCCCATTCTTTGTGGCCTTTAATTTCTTCCTGTCAGTTTCTCCATCTATACAATGAGGGATACATTTGCAGTGGAGTTAGATTGCTGCAAAACATAATTAGTTAATTTTTCATCAATTTGTTGTGTGAATGAAGGAACGCCAGGATAGTGGATTCTAAGGTGCTGATTTTTGACAAGCAAATACAGGTTAAAATTGTCCTTGGCAAATTCTAGAAGGCTTTTGGGCTGGTCAGATCTGATAACTTGAACTCTACATGTTTATATAAAACTTTTTTTTCCTTATCCCTTTTCTCAGCAGTTGTATGTATATCCAAAGTTTGGGTGAAAAATATGTTTTAAAGTAAAATGTACATATTAACTTGATTTTAAAATCCCAAGGTCATAAACTAGCAGTCACGCAAATATAATTGTTACTGCTCCATCAGAGTAGATTAATTTCTCTGTGTTTATGCATAAAGGTCAGCGTTCATTATGCCTCAGAAAAATCACCCTCTGCCAGTCCTCTTCACTTCCCTTTTAAAACTGTGCTTAAAAACTTTAAAAATTGTGACACTTTGGCTTAAATCTTGAGCTGGTGTAAATAATTTAGGCAACAGTGTACCTTATATATATTCTTCCAAGTAAGTAAGGAGATAGTCTTCCTCACAACACCAGCTTTTGAAGTCTTCCTCTCACTTGTGCATAGCAACTACTGCCCTCTGCTGGGAATTCTGACTTCATAGTGTACTCAAACACGTTTTAGCCTTCTCTTTACAGAAGTTGAATAACTTTGTTTCATGGATCCTGTATGATCTTTCAGTAGGTAATTAAATATATCCTTTCATCCAGCTGCCAAGTACCAATAAACACAGTATCTTAACATGATAGGAAAGTATCTGTAAAACTGATTTTTGTGGATGGGTAACTGGAGAACATGTTAAATGCAAAAGGTTTCATATAGAAATGCATGAAAGTTCAGGAAAAGGTTATCAGTAGAAGTCAGTATCTATGTAGTAAAAAGCTATCTTAATGTGATTTTTTATTTTTTTTTCCCTAGAAATTTAGCATTTATATAATTTCTGGCAAAATATAGTATATGTGTAGATTAACACAGCAAAAAAGTGCATTGCAATAAGAGCATGCTGTACAGACCAGAAAGAAGATGTGGTTCCTAACTTGAACAGCTTCTGCTTCAAAATGAAAGACGTAACTAAGCTTTCTTCAACCAACCAACCAAACAAACAAAAAGCCACCGTTTTCAAGGGCAACAAGTGATTAGTGATTTGACTGAATGTCTCCTCTATATGATGACACAACTCAGCTGCATTTGCACTTTAATGATTCTGAATCATTTTGAGGGAATTACCTTCATTAAAAAATTGTTAAATGAATCCACTGTATAATTCGGTGTCATCTTTAGGATTGTAGGATTTCAGGTGTAGTTGTAAGCAAACATACCGTGGAGTTGCTCTGAAGTGATTTTGATCTTAAGTTTTATTCCCAGCAGATTAGTTTTTGCAGCTTAAGCTCTATTCAACCTGGCCTTGAACACTGCCATGGATGGAGCATTTACAACTGACTTGGGCAACCTGTTCCAGTGCCTCACCATGCTCACAGTAAAGAACTTCCTCCTTATATCCAATCTAAACTTCGCCTGTTTAAGTTTGAACCCGTTACCCCTTGTCCTGTCACTACAGTCCCTAATGAAGAGTCCCTCCCCAGCAAGCCTATAGGCCCCCTTCAGATACTGGAAGGCTGCTATAAGGTCTCCGCAGCCTTCTCTTCTCCAGGCTGAACAGCCCCAACTTTCTCAGCCTCTCTTCATGTGGGAGGTGCTCCAGTCCCCTGATCACCCTCGTGGCCCTTCTCTGGACTTGTTCTGACAGTTCCATGTCCTTTTTATGTTGAAGACACCAGAACTGCACACAATACTCCAAGTGAGGTCTCACAAGAGCAGAGTAGAGGGGCAGGATCACCTCCTTCGACCTGCTGGTCACGCTCCTTTTGATGCAGCCCAGGATATGGTTGGGTTTCTGAGCTGCAAGCGCACACTGCAGCCGGCTCATGTTCATTTTCTCATCGACCAACTCCCCCAAGTCCTTCTCTGCAGGGCTGCTCTGAATCTCTTCTCTGACCAACCTGTAGCTGTGCCTGGGATTGCTCCGACCCAGGTGTAGGACCTTGCACTTGGCATGGTTAAACTTCATAAGGTTGGCATCAGCCCAGCTCACAAGCGTGTCAAGGTCCCTCTGGATGGCATTCCTTCCCTCCAGCGTATCAACCCGAACCACACAGCTTGGTGTTGGCAGCAGACTTACTGAGGGTGCACTCAATCCCACTGTCCATGTCACCGACAAAGATGTTGAACAGGATTGGTCCCAACACCCATCTCTGAGGGACACTAGTCATTACCTCATCCACATCAGCCACCCCACATGAAGACCAAGGACAGAAAAGCACTGTTTCCGTTAGTAGGTAGCACTGTCATACATGAATATAACATTGTTTATGAATTTTAAAAAAAGCTGGAAGTTACAAGCATCTTCTTAATCAAGAGCAAAGGTCTGAAGCAATTTTCCACTATGAGAAATGTAACTAAGAAACTTCTGCTGTAAGATGAAGAAAAATCAGTTCTTGCCAGGATTCTCTGATGAGGTAATCTGAAACAGCAGTACATGATCCTGAAAATCTTTGACCCCAGGGATTACAGATCTCAGATACTGGTCATCCATGTGGTTGTCAAAGCTGGAAAACAACTTAAGCAAAGAACATGCAATAGTCATAAGATAAGGTGCTATCAACACCAAAATGTAGTTGGGAAATTCCAGAATGACTGTTGCTTGTGTTAGATCTGAGTTTGTCCATCCTCGTGTGTAGATACTAAAATAATAATCATTGCTATGTGATGCTGTAATTACATGATCACATACAGCTGAATTGCATAGTTGGCTACTGTCATAGTCTGCACCAGAGTTAGTGGTGATACTGTTCTTATCAAAAAAGACAAAACCAAGCAAGTTCAAACCGGTTAAAATAATGAAAGTTGCAGGTGAACTCATAGTGCTTAGTTAGGAAGCTCCAAAACAAAACTGCGTGTTACTTGAACCTTTCCTCAGTATGCCATCTAATGTAATCTTTAACTACGCAATGACATGCCTTTTTTTTTCTTCTGCCATCACAAACTTTCAGTAAAAACTTGATAAGAAGTTGCCTTCATAATTAAAATCTCAGTTTATTAATAATGCTTCAAATGAACGTCTCAGCTTTGCCTGTAACTTACAGAGTTTTCCAATAGATTTGTGCTGTTATCAGTGTCTTTACATTTTTTAACCAAGTTAGCCATGCCCTACTATCTTCTATCTTACTCTTTCATTTGAACTTCAGGATGCAGCTGCATCACAGATCATGCCTTGGGTTTTTCTGTCCATTTCTTGGCAGTCTGCAGTCTGTTTTATCTGCCCTACTAGCGACAGAATGTGACTCCTTTGTAAACAGCAGAAAGAGCTGTATGATTTTTTGTTACTGCTTAATGCCTAAGTTGTAAGTATTATCTAGTCTTAAACTGTATTTTGGTTTTAGGAAGTTTTGGAGTATCTGCACTAAATTGTAGTCCTTGTCAATCGGAACTCTTGAGGATGTTATTGGAACTGGCCCTAGAATATCTTCCAATATCAACAAAAATATTTTTTCTCTCAAGATGAAATATCTTTTTCTAACATATGTAAGGTGCTCTCTATTCTTCAGTCTCTAAAAGGTGAGCTACTTTGTCATTGATGAGTCAACAAAGAAGAAGGATGCTTTATACTTAATTAAATGGAATATATAATAGAAACAGGAGACGACTAACTCTTAAAACAGCCCACAGAGAGCTCCAAATAATAAACGTTGCACTTGAAGTGAGATGATGATAGCTGAAAATGCATTAAGTAGACAGAGAAACAAAGACAAATGAAGGTCAGAACTCAGTCAAGCAGGCTGAAGTGGAGTAAACACTTTGTCAGGAGGGTAGCCTATGTTAGTGCTAATGTGTTTTGCACTAGTATGGTGCCTATAAAATACTGACTCATGGCATCAGAGTTAATGACAAAAATCTACAACAGTTTTACCTTATGTACACATGCAGGAACAGTAAGACCATAAGAAAGAGTCTTGCCTGTTAATGTTGGATTGTGGTTTGTTTTTTTTTTTAAATATTGCATCATGTGAAAGAACTGGTAACAAATGGTGACAGTTGTTACATAAATGTGTTACAGTTCTGAAGCTGAGTTTTGATTGATAATTGGTAGAAGAAAAAAGATGAGACAGTACCAGAAACACACCATCTAGCTGTTATTTTTAGAATGTTGTTCAGAAAACCAGATGAATCAGTCTAAACTTCATCTGCAGGGTTATTTCTTTCTAAACTCTAAAAGGAGGGTTTGAGAACTCCTCTGTGTAAAGAACTACAGCTGATGCCAGCTGAGCCGTATATAATGGACCGGCTGACTCAGGGTTTCCATTGCATGTCACCAGACTTGAGTCTTGGTAGGGAAGTACAGACTTACTCTATTAAAACACTCATGGCTGGTGGCCTCAGATATTTCTGATCATAAGATTTGGGAGTCTCCAAAGGCACGTTTCTGACAACATTTACAAAATATTACTACTTAGCACTGGTGTAGGTGTTACAGAAATTCTTGTTAAACAGCTTGAAATTACCTGCCTTTTATGTCCCTAATTGGAGGAATTTTTGAATTGCCTGCTTTTTGCACAGCTGAAGTAGATTGTTCAGCTATGATAAAGATACATACTGTAATCCTCTAAATCCGTGGGTTTATGTCTGCATAAAAGCAAAAGAAGTATTCCATCTTCCTTTCTTATCCATTTGAAATGCATTTGCCTTTTATTTTCTGCCTGTTTCCTCTCTGACTCCCCAGGTTTTTAATTTTGATGTTTGGATATCCACCAAGGTACCCATGAAGTTCCTAGATGTATAGCTCAGTGGTCAGGTGCTTCAGTTTGTGGATTTTGCTAAAGTTTGAAGTCTTTGATTTTTATTTATTTTAGGGATCAACTTTTAATACTTGATACCTCCCCAGAAATGGGGTGTATTTATATGGTTTGGGTGAGAAAGCATATCACAGAATAATTCCGCAGGCTTTGGCAGAAGGGTGGTTGAGATCTCCATGTGATAAAAGAATGAACCTGAATAGTGATGATACCTGTAATTTCTTACCTAAGGAGAGACATGAGAAATTATTTCCTTTCCCGCATGCAATTATATCACTGTTGCTGTGCCTCTCAGGTACTCAGCACACTGGTGATCTCTTCTGTACTTAACAGTACTTCAGTCCTAAGTATTGAATAAAATTATATAATTGAATTACAATATTGAATAAAAATTGCATAAACTGTTTGCTTACCACCAATCTTAAAATCTCCATCAGCATCCTAGTTGTGTTGCTGCTTTTAGTGCTTCCATTGTTTTCTTTTGCACTTGATGAGATTATTGTCCAGCTACCTGTCGCTGTTTGATGGTGAGAGATGTGGTGGGCTAGCTCTGTGATGTTTCCATCCAGCAGTTCCTTTCACTTTCTTGAATATTTTCATGCTTTATCTCATCAGAACGTTTTGACTTCAGCTACTCTTTGTCCAGATAAGTGTTTTTTCAGAGGTGATGCTTTTCCGAGGTGATGCGTGAAGCTGTTGTTGGCTCTCAAGATGATTATCTTCTTGGTTTCTGGTTAAGAAGTCCATAGCAGTGGCTGGGGAATAAAATGGAGGGAGAAAATAAACAGTATATATAACTTTGAGGAGAGGATATAGTATATACTGCTCTGAAACGCTGCTAAAAACATTTAGAAGGTTTTGTAATCGTACATTTCCATAGATGTCCCAGGGAAGTTGCATGGTTATGAATGGGAAAGCAGGGTGGTTCATAGGACTGCAAATGAGAGAACTGGCTTAGAGACAGGCTTTAATACCTGCCTGGGGGTTAGCCGGTGAGAAGCTCTAGCTTATTCCCATTCATTTTCAGAAGAATTTTTGGAATGCCAGCAGGGCTTCATTCTCCTGTGCTTGCATAAGAACCATTTCTACGGGTTTTTCATTCTTGTGTCTAGATAAAACCCAAAGTCCTGGTTATGGACAGCCATTAACAGTTGCTCAAAATAACTTCTTGTGGGAGGGTTTTAGGTAAGTAGTTACGCTTAGCCTACAGCACATTTGTCTAGCAATTTCAGTTAGAAAATATTTTTTATTTACTGTTTTTAGCACTATTGCAGTGCTTTAGAACCACATTACACTGTAGGTACAGCACATTTCATCAGCTGGGGAGTTGTGACATTGCCATGCATTTCTTATGGGTTTTGTTTCAGCCTCTTGGAGCCAGTGACTATTTGGAAATATCAAAGCACTTTGACACAGTCTTTGTTCGTGACATACCGCTTCTTACAATGGCAAAAAGGACACAAGCTCGTCGCTTCATTACTCTTATTGATACCTTTTATGAGCATAAGGTGAGAACCAAGCCTTTCCTATGTGTGCAGAGTAATATTGGGAGCTCTAAAATCTGACATCCAATTGGTTTGAAGTAAGGCTTTCTATAGTAATGATTTGGAAAACATAAGCAGAATGCACTAGCTCTGAAAAGAACCATCATTCCAGCTTCACAAAAGAGGTCTCATCACTATAAAGGCAAATAAGCAGGTTTTGGTTTGTTGGTTTTTATATTTCTGTGAGTATTGAACATGACCATACATACAAGCCTGAGCTCATTTGCCTTTCCCGAATAGGGATGTTATTTCCTTCCTAACCCAGGAAATCCACAGAAACCATGTCATCATTTTAATAATGAAAGATTGTGCTGCCAGCTGTGCTGAGTAAATTTAAATTTTTTAGATTTTAATCTGCATGGGCAGTTAGTCAGGAATCAGCCTTCCTGAACAGGGTACTGAGGAGTTAATAGCATAGTTACATTATTAAGTTTAAAGGAAACAATCACTGTAGGCTTTACGTGAGGTTGCAGAACTGCTAATGGAATAGTAATGATAAATACAGCACTTCATGTGAATCTACAGAGGTTTCAATCATGGAAGCAAAATCAGCACCATTAAAACAAAGAGAAGTTCATGTTTAAGATGATTTTTTAAAAGTAATACAAGGTATGAAACCCTGTCCTGTGTGTGATTATATGTGCACACACTTAAATATTTATGCAATCAGGAAAGATCGAGATTATTTTTTTTCCAAAGAATGTCCTGGCAAGATCATCGGAAAGGCCCCACTTCAGCAAGGTGTTGAACAAAGTGCATGAGTAGTCTTATTCAGGTCAGCCAGATTCTTTGTACTTTATGATTTGGAAGTGGACAATTTCTAAGAGGATATGCTAATACTTATAAACTAATAATAGTGTGTTAGAAATAAGGGGGGTGAGGTTGTCTGCTCTACCTACATGCTGTCATTAAGAATTGCAAGCAAACAGCTGCTTCCTATTCCTTCCTCCACAGGAAAACCACAAGTGTTAAGCTCCTGTCACAAGTAGTTGTTAGGAAAAAACACCTGAGAGAGCCTATTTGTGGAGACTTGTCCAGGGTGCAAATATATTGTCTGCCTACTCTCAGCAAGTATCTCCTCCTGTAAAAATACTTCAACCTGTCTTCATTGTAGCCCCCTGTGATACCCTACCTCACTGCAGATTGTACCTCCTTCCAGCACACGTGAAAACAGCATCATTATTGCTATTAGCAGATAACGTGCATTGTTATTACCAGTAATATGCACTTGAGTAGCATGGGTGAAAGCAAGAGTGGCTCCACTCAGCCTTCTGGAAAACTTGGAATTTAAACAATCTTTAGGTGGAAATATGTGTGCAGTGCACTTAGATACTGAGAGGAATTTTAACTGTGGGGGGGGGAAAGAAAGCATTGGTTACAAACACTTTATAGCTGTTACTGTAGAAAGTTGATTGTGAGCTCATTGCCTGTATAGCAGGTATTCTGAGTATTCACTACCATACTTATTCTGTTCTCTGTGTAAAAGTTACATGAATTGTTATTGAGAAAAAGATCTTGCAAGGTTAGTATTCCAAATGACCAAGTCAAGTAGATCTGTAACAGCAGTGCTAATGAGAGAAAAGGAAAATACCTTGAAAAGAAACAAGGTCGTGATTTGAAGTTTGCTTTCCATGAAACATGTATTTTTATCTGTTTTCTCCAAAGCCCAAGTGATGAGATTGTTGCCTCTTTTCCTTCTCTCAGGTGCGTATTATTTGTTCTGCAGTGGCTCCTCTCCAAAGCTTGTTCCTGGTAGAACATGACAGTGGTGAGGTAGAGAACAACAGAGTCTTGATGGATGATTTGGACTTGAGCCATGTACGTGATAGTAATATGTTTTTAACAGAATTGGATTTGGTCTCATGATTAGAGCAGCATTTTAGGACGAGGAATCAAGTAAATATTTGACTAGTGATTTGCTGCTTTTTCTGCAGTGTGTCTTTTGCTCTCATAATAGCATGTTATTGATTCATAGTCTGTTTTACATCTTTCTAGACTACATAGGACTGCTTCACAAATCCTCACAAACAATACTATTTTGCATGTTACCAATTCTGGTTTTCCTTTTCCCTATAGCCTAGTTATTGTTAATGAATTTTTAAATGATTTCTCTAAATCCATATGCAAGTAGTCAACAGGAAAGTGAAAATAGATGGTTAACACATCATCATGCAGTTTTAAACCCAAGTTACTGTTTTGCTACATTCCTTCAGAAGATTACCTAGGTGAAATAGGTGTTTTCCTTTAATATTTGGACTTAAATTTCAGTTTTTTGGTGCTATGCTACTGTCTTGTATCATCAAGGCCTGTGAAACACTCAGCTTTAGGAGTTGGGTAGGATGGACTTCGGTACAGCTATGTCTCTCACAGTTAGTTCTGTGGTGTTGTTTTTCTGTATTAATGTAGGATTCCGCCAAAGGACTCTCCATGTTCACAGGAGAAGAGGAAATCTTTGCCTTTCAGCGTACTCTCTCTCGGCTTACAGAAATGCAGACTGAACAATACTGGAAAGACGGAGACAGAAGCAAAAATATGTTGTAATTAAAAGTTGAATAAAATCAGCCGAAGTAAAACTACAGAATTGGAAAGGTTTTTAGCACAACTGAAATAATAATTGCACTTTATCACCTGGACCATATTTTCTTTCATCAGTTGTTTTTTGTGCTTAAGAAATGAGGACTCAATTATTTTTCAGTACCATCAGTGTGTGGACATGTGAAATTTTGCCTTAATTTTCTTTTCTGTAAAATACAACGTTGATGTTCAGTAAATTTAATGAGATTAGAATTTTTCTGGAGAATTGGTCTAGAGACAAAGTTGATGGGCTATGCGGGGTTCACAGTAGATTTAGAATGTCACGTGAAGAGGACACTTAATGGTTGATGCGCTGCTTCTGTCATGTACAATGCAGTTGGCACAAGAGAAAAATCAAATGCTGTCTTTATGAAACTCCTCATGTTGTATAGGTCCCTGATAGAATTCTGGAACTGCTCTGTTGTGTACTGTGTTGTGGGTTTATTTGCCCCTTATTTTCTGTGTGGAGCCATCTGCTGACTTTTCAGGCTCTAAGTTTCCTGTGATCAGTCTGTTGCTCAGTTTAGTTCATTGTAAACTAATGGTTTGAGCCATGCAAGAACCCTGAGGAGGAGACTGAAGGCGCTTGAAACTGCACACAGTTAAAACCAAGGTAATCACTGCTGGGAAAAGAAACTATGACAGGACAGTGTATACTGTAACATGTAAGTGCAAGTTAATACTCTAAATTTTGCAGTTCTTGCATGCCTGGATATGCTGCCTTTACACCAGTGTTATATGTCTACCCTGAATTTTCTCAGGCTTCATCTATACCAAACCTTATATTGCTTCTAGCACACCTGCTCTGATGTGGGGAGCGTGATCCTACCCCTCTACACTGCTCTCATGAGACCTCACCTGGAGTATTGTGTGCAGTTCTGGTGTCCTCAACATAAAAAGGACATGGAACTGTTGGAACAAGTCCAGAGAAGGGCCACGAGGATGATCAGGGGACTGGAGCACCTCCCGTATGAAGACAGGCTGAGGAAGTTGGGGCTGTTCAGCCTGGAGAAGAGAAGGCTGCATGGAGACCTCATAGCAGCCTTCCAGTATCTGAAGGGGGCCTATAGGGATGCTGGGGAGGGACTCTTCATTAGAGAATGTAGTGATAGGACAAGGGGTAATGGGTTTGGACTAAAACAGGGGAATTTCAGGTTAGATATAAGTTGTTGACTCTGAGCATGGTGAGGCACTGGAACAGGTTGCTTAAGGAAGTAGTAAATGCTTCATCCATGGCAGTGTTCAGGGCAGGTTGGATGGAGTCTTGGGTGACATGGTTTAGTGGAAGGTGTCACTGCCCATGGCAGGGGCTTTGGAATTAGGTGATCTTAAGGTCTTTTCCAACCCCAACTATTTTATGACTCTATGATTCTGGGGTTTAACAGAAACAAAATACAGTATTATGCTTATTGACTTACAGTGCATTTTTATAAAAGGTTAATTTAATAACATATTTAGAACCCTGAAGAGGGAAAAATACTATGCAGATGGACTGAAAAGGTTGCCCTAATTGCTTAGGGAGGAGATAGATACATAACTCACTGTCTCCAGATTTAAGGGGTTTTCTTAGACTTTGCAACATGACCTTTTTCTTGTACTGTATCTGTTCCCCAAAATATTCTTCTCTGCCTTTGTTTAGCCTGATTAAATTTTTTCAGTTGTAGCCCTCCATCACAGTTACAGAAAGCTTTTGAAAGGGATTTTGGGACAGCAGGGAAGACTGGACAGATCGTGTGCACTTGCATGCGTTTTGGAGCCATGTGCTCAAGTCTGGTTTTCTGTTCTGACCACTTGTTTGTCCTGCAAGACTTACAGTGGCTATACCTGTTCTTCAAAGAATTTCTGAAGCCTATATTTATAGTTTACAAGTTATGCAGCTGTGTTGTTATTCCCACAAGGGTGACTACCATGGAGAATTTTAATGTGTATTAACGAAAACCCCAATCAGAATACATTGCTTATACTGCATGAGCAATGGCTATATGAATAATTGATGTATATTTTCAGAGATTTGTATTAGGTTTCTCAACAGAGGGACTATTGAGATTCATGCATGTGTGTCTGTGTATATACACACACCTATACTTATTATATATATATAAATACAGATAAAACTAATTTATATAACTTAAGTGTGTCTGGTTCTGTATTTATACGTGGCAATCTATACTCATGAGCCTGGGCCTGTGCTGACAGGCCTAGTGATGCCTAGTGTCCATCACTAGGGCATGATGGACAGCACTGGGCATGTCCTGGCCCAGGGTGCTGCATCACCTGCAGTCCTGAGGGTGATCCCAGCAGTCCTGTCCCCTGCTGCCTGGCCTGCTCCTAGCTGCTGCGAGACAGCAGTGGTCTGTGGCTTTTTATTACCACATTAAAATGTTGTATTTGCCAAAATGTAAAGAGTGAGATGCCTGTGAATAAACTATGCATACTCCTTGATGGCCTTAAAATTGCTGGATTTATGCTGGATGCCTCTATCCCAAGATCAAGTATTGGCTTTTTAGGTTTTCTTAACTTGTAAGTTCATGTCATCTAGGATCTGCAACAAATTTTCATTTCCCTTTTAGTAATTCAACAACCATTATTGCCAAGTTAATTTTAAAAGTAATTTTGAGTCATCCTATTGATGTGGTATTATATTTTGCTGTCACAGGAAGCAAAATCCTTGTCATTATGGACCATGCAAAATGTTTCATGTTGGTTTGTAAAGGCCACATGCTGGCTAAGAATCTCTCAGCTAACTTGTTTCAATATTTGATTGACAAAGGAATGTTCTCAGTGCCTGAAAATCTAAATTACAGCTTCTGTGAGGATAGTTACTTTATCCATACAAACATTTTATCTTTAAAGCTGTATTTTCATTTTGCGTTCTTGTGCAGTAGCTCTTACTTATATTTTAAATAAATAACGCAATTCTGTCTTTTAAAGTCACTGCTTTTCAGTATTTACCTTTGCACAGATGGAGGGAACAATTGCAGTAGTTTGGGTGTATCAAGACAGCCCTCCAAAGGCCTCTGGAGGGATCAGAGGTGCCTTCTTGCTGTTGTTGCTTTTGATCTAAAAAAGAAAACCATTAATGGCCTTTTTTGATTAAAGGTGACCACAATGACACTATAGCTGGATAATGTCACCTATTTTGAAGCAGTTTAAACATCGGAAAAAAAGACCTGACCAAGTTTCAAACAGTGCTTTTCATAGTCACCAGACATCTAACAAAGAGAAAGAACAGTCTCTCCATCAAGGCCTGTCTAAGAGGATCAAGATCCAGGAGGTTTCCTTCTGCAGTTACCTGGATCTGTGACTCAGTTTCCCTGTTGACAGAATAGGAATGATGTTACTTTCTGATTTGCTGACACTGGAGTACTGCCAGACTTCACTCATTAATATTCTAAGATGCTTGCTGAGGCTCTGGGGTGAAAATACTTCAGTAAAGTATGTAAATAGTGCAAAAAATAATTTAGCTACTCAAAGTGGATTAGTTTCCTTGTTTGGGTTACAGAATTATTGCCATCAACTACATACACATCACGTGCCTCTTTGCTGTGAGGATATTTTTTTAATAAAGAATCTATTTTAAAGAAAGAAAAAAAAATAACCTGAGCTTTGTGATTCAAACCTTCATCAAGTCAGGTAGATTTTCTTCTACTTTTAACAACACATTTCCTATATGATTCATTACAACCTTAGCTCCTGTACCTGTGAACTACAGTGGCTTTGTAAATTCTGTTGGGATTCTCCTTGTATACTGAGAATTATTTTTTTTAAATATATCATTTTGAGTCTAATATATAACAAACTGAACACTAGTAAATCCTTCTGTTGAGAATAATTTATGTTGTAATAAAAATAAATAAATCCAGATTTTGTAAACATTTCACTTATCATTCATGCTATTTTTAGGTAAGTAAGTGTTCTGAATAGAAAGGCCTTCTGTTAATGACTTGGTGAGATTTAGGTTTTTTATCTCTGTATCCAGGGGACAAAGTTGGATCTGCAGCGCTGCAGGTTTCTGGGCACTTGCTTGCCTGGATGAGCCATAGCACCGCAGGCCATTGCCCAACATGAGGCTCAGCCTTTGGCAGGTGTGCCCAGGGCTTGTGAGCTCCTCCTCCAGAGGCAGTTTAGACTTGTCGTCTTCAGTTACTACTGCTGCCAGCCTTCATTTTGGGGTTTAGAACCCTATTTTCTACCTGACTCTTTTCTTCAGCAACTTGAGGGTGAGGCACTGCAGCTTGAGCGCAAGCCACAATTAAAGTGCTCTTTTTTTTTTCCCTGTTAATTTGTGATTCTTACTGTTCAAGATGTGCTTTTGCTGACAGCTAATTAGTGCTGCAGTTAGTTTTTACAGGCTCTGCACAGCTTGTAAAAGTGCCCCTGGGAAGCTGTTAGTTAACACTTGGGCAGGCAGGGAAGTCCCTGCCCTGATGGGCTGGGAGGGCCACTGCAGCCCCCAGTGCAGGTGCCCTCATGCAGCACCTCTTAAGTGTTGTGAATGGGAGAGCAAGGCTGCAGTGTGACACTTCTCCACGGATGCCAGTGGCAGAGGATCAAGAGTGTTTTACAGTTTGGGCTTGAGAAACCAGTGGTGTAAAGTTTTCTAGGAGGGGTTAAATTTGGGGGCTATTTTTATGCCTCCTACTGGAAACATTCAGTCTCCCCATTTCTTGAAGAGAGGGACTGTCATACTGAGTATCAAGCTGTAACCAACTTGCTCCAGTATCTTGCCTGCAGCAGTGCAATATCCAGTGTTTGAGAATAGCATCCAGGAAATTTCTTAATACCCCCTCATTATAGCTTTGCAGAGGTTTGTGGAGCAGGATGCCATATCCTCACCAGTGGTTGCATGCCTTGTTACTCACATAAACACTGCATCCTTCTCCAGGCTAATTTAAATCTTTTATTTTTCCCCTCAAGAATCCTGCTGCAGTGAGACATCGGGGTCTAGTTATTTTGCTCAAGGAACAGTCCCTTTACATGCTTTGCTGCCTCTTCCAAAATACTTCAAGAACAGATGCAGCTAATCTGCCTTTGCAGTTTTGTTTGCCCAGTGGATGTTTCTCTCATATCCCCCTCATCCATTTCCTGCCAGAGATGAGCAAACCCAATGTGTCCATCTCTTCACAGAGAAGAGCGCTACTTGTCTTGGGATCCTTAATCTTTTCTGATGTAGGTTTGTGTGTGTCTCTGCTTCCCAAGACTCCTGCACTTGGAGTTTCCTGCTGCTTGGCTTTGGGCCTTGAGAGCTCTGGTACATATGAAATACAGGTCTGGGGGTGCATCTGTGCCCCTGCAGAAAAGGGGACGTTTTCTGAACCCTGGGTTGCAGCAGTGCTTGCATCTGCCATTCTCTCCCCCGAGAAGGACTTGCAGCAGCAGTGCCTTGCGCGAGAGCAGAGGGAGGATGGAGCAGATGGAGGATGCAGGCCACTTGCTCCCTCTCCAGCCTTCTGCATTCTCCACATATTTGTAAAACAACTTTTGTTTTAAATTGAATTGAATTCTAAGAGCGCCACTAAAATACAGAAATGCTTCTCACTGACCTATTACTCTGCATTCATGTTGGTAAAATTCTGGATGAGTTTCTATAGTCCTCCCGCCAGTTCTTTGTCAGGGTGAAGGGTTTAGTTGGCTCTGTTAATCCACTCTGTAGCTGAAATTGTTCATTTAAATCGTTATAAAAATCCACTCTTTTCCAATGCGAATCCTATATTCCCAGATTCAATTACTGCTGCCAGTGCAAAGACTTCAAATTCTTTGAGTGCAATCACACTGTGTCAGTCCAAAGCCAAATTGCAAACACTTATCCACAATTCCCCTTACTCAGCTTTAAGCTAATTTTTCCAGTTGGCAACAATAGCCATAAAAGTATAGGGAAAGATTATTAGAAGAGTTTAAGAAATGGTTGATCAGCTCCTCCACAAGCTGTGGTACAATTCCACAGCATCCTCTTCTTGCAAGGAGCAAAACTTTTCATTCTGTTACTTAATATATTTTTAGCACTAGGCTCTTCAGTGTCACAGTAATTAAGAGCGATCACAGCCAGTGAAAGACGAAGCATGGAACAAAAGATCAAGTGATTGTTTAAGCTGAAGTTAACTGAACCAAGAAAAGTAAGCTCACTGACATGAAGAAAAAGGCTTTCTTTGTATCCTCCGGTATTTTACAATTAGCAAAGCCAAACACACTTGTGTAACTTTTTCTACCTACAGTGATGGATAACGTTCAGGTCACAACATGATGTGTTGGGTGGTGAGGTTTTTTTTCCTGAGGCTTAAGAGCATCACTCATGTCAGGTCTTTCCTGTAGCTGAGGTACAATGTGCCCAACATCTCTTCCTGCTAGTCAAAGTTCAAACATTTTGCAAACAGCTAACAAAGTTAGTTGGGGTGGAGAGTGAAATTTGTTGAAAACATAGGCAGAGGACCAGTCTCCTTCAGCGGCAGTTGCTATCTACTGAAAAGTAACATTTCAGAGGCCAATGGAGAGAGGAGCAATTACTGTCCAGCGAAATTAAAATCTGAATAGGCTGCCATTTTCAGTGCTTCACTAGGATGGCTGTGATTGCTATAGAAACTTCTGAGAGTGAGACAGAGAGGTTTTCCAGCACTGGAAATTACAAATGGAGAAGGTTAGACTGGGTGCAAAGCCCATTCAGTCAGGCAGCTGCCAGTTGAGCCTCTTTGCCAAGTAGATTGTAGGAAACGCTGATTAAAATGTCCACTGAATGCACCAGGCAAATTAAATTTCAGTCACAGCCGGCTGGGCAGTTTCGGTGGGAAGATGGCTCCGGTGCACCTGGGCTCCCTCTCCCTCTGCAGAGAGCCTCTCCTGCAGGCACTTGCCCCCTCTCACAGGTATAGCAGGGATGCTGCAGCAGTCATGCTGTGGCAGTCTAAGGACACGGGTAAGATGAGGTTTGTGAGGAAAGCTGGTAGCAGCCGGTCTAATAAAGGATGTCGGTGGGGAAAAAGCAAAGCCAGAGATGGTTCCAGGTGGGGGAGCAGTGTTCCTCCCCGAGCCCAGCTTTGCTGTCTCTCCAAGGGCACAAGCGCAGCAGATGAGGGCTGCTGCCATGTCCACCTCCATCTGACTGGGCTGGCACCCCCATTTTGTTGTGTGTGTTGTCCCCACCATGCTGATATATATGAACAAGACTGCACTCTTTGAACACCTCATCTGCCAGCCCCTTCCCCTACAAACAGCCTGTGGTGGACAGCTGAAACTGTCCCTTTGGGTCAGAGCAGCAGGCAGTACAGCCAAAATCCTGCCGCAAACCAAGAGATGGCTAAGCCTCTCACAAACAGTGGGAGCCTCCCACAAACAACTCAGACAAGCCCCCGAAATCCCCCTTGCAGCCCATCAGTCCCCAGTTTTGGCTGCACACCCAGGTGCATCTGCAACTCCACTAATGTCTCTCCTTAAGAGGATGCTCTTACCTCCTTTCCATAGCTCCACTTCTGGTCCTTTCATCTATGCTGGGGGAGGGCTTAATATCCTTTTGTGTTCATCACTGGCCTTGAAAAAATGCTTGTCACCCTCCTGGCAGCAGGCTGGCAGCAGTTATTCCAGCCAGTCCCCTGAAGGACCATCAGTATCTTTTGGTTTTATCACTATCGTTTCTTTTATTCCTCTCTCCCGTTACTCCTTGGCCTCCTTTAATTTAACTTTAGGCTGTCAGCCAGAAGAGTCTCAGGTAAGCTCAGACGCATGTAATGCTGTGACATAGTAACATAGCTATGTCCCTTCTCCTCCTCAGGCTGCATGTAGCCAGTGTACCAGCTCAGGCAGCATGGCCTTCAGCGTTGCACCGCTTTACAACTGCTCTGCTTGGGCCAGTTGCTTTTCCAATTGTGCTTGGCTTTGAGACAGAACAATAAAACCACTTTGTGAATGAGTAGAAATCCTACCTGCCTATATCATGGTTTCCAAATATACCTCTTCTTCATAGGCTGTGCTTGAAAAAAAGTTTGCATTTAAGTACAAAAAATTATATGACCTGTATGAATAAGAACAATGAGATTTGTCACCCTGCGTGAGGGTGAACAATGTAACAAGTCACCACTTACTGAATCCATGAAATGTTTTCCTGTTTGGAATTTTCAGATTAAAAAAACAATGCATTTTGACAGTAACTGTTATTGATATTTTGATCTGATTGTGATTCTGTTCATTTACGGTTTCTCAATACACAGTTCTTTAGAAATCAAACTGACTTCATCTTGTGCTCCCAGAGCACCTGAAGACAGTGCTCAAGGATTAAAACATCTGCTCAAGGCAATGTCAATAATTGTCTACTTAAGCTTTTTATATACATTGGTTATTTGGCTTCCTAATGGCTTACACCAAGCTGTTACAGTGGTGTGTATGTATGTGCCTGTACACATATAGATATATGTATTCAAGGAACTATGAATGGGTTTTGCAGTGCTTTTGACTTGTAACTAACTGCTCCCACAGCCATGAGTTAAGGGCTGGTTAATGGATGCCAATCTGTCAATTCTTGAGCAATTTAGGAAATTAGTTATTGACATAATGGAGAAATTATGAGTGTATCACAGCAACTCATACTTGAGGACACCTCCGTCTGCTAAGGTTGACCCTAATAATTAACAGCTTTACCCAGTGCTCCAGAGGTGCTTTATAAGGCACAAGGCTGAAGGTTAAACAGCTTCTGTGCATCAGATGTGCTTATTACATCAGTATGTCTATAATGGTTTTCCTGAAGCCACAGCAGCTTGTTAATTGATCGTTCTCATTTTACAGTCTTTCCCGGGGTCCCCTGTACCATTACAAAGCTGTGCCCTTGTCCTTCAGATTGCCTTTTCCTGTTCAGCTTGAGAACTAGTGTCCCCGCAACCAAACAGGGACCTGCCTGCCAACCGTTTGCTTGCCCTTGGTCAGCTGCACAGTGCTGCTTCCTCTTCCCCCAGCCCCACTCCCACCTCAGCTCCTCTTTCTGTGAAAGTCAAAGGCACAATTGCCACCTACCTCCTGTTTAAGCATCTGCCACCGCAGTTCAGCATCCAGGCAGCTCAGTGGTTCCCTTCTGTTGGGTCCAGGGTTTATTTAAGTTTTCCAGAATGAGAAGGTGATGACAAATCAAAGGCCAAGTGTCATGAATGACTTGATGTGGAAGAGGAACAAAGTTTACAAGGTGAGCACGACCAACTGGTAAACCACCTGCTTCTCCCATCAACTGCTACAGATGGAAAGAAAACAGAAAAACTTTCTGGGCTGAGAACACCTTTGACAGCTCACTGGGAGCTGAAGTTATTGAGGTGTTAATGCCGTATGTCCCAGGTGAGAAATCAGCTGCAAAATCCTCAGCTCTTGGGTCAAAATCCTTCAGTGTATCTGAGTACCTGGCTAGAGTGGAACGTAGGTCCCTATAAAGGAGAAGCTGGGCTTTAGCACCTCCTATCCTTTAAACAGGAAGATAACCGAAGAGACTAAAATCAGGGGAAAGTGGGTTTCAGCAGAGCTTCCCACTTCTTAAGACACAAGCTCCCATCTTCCCATTTCTTAAAAGACACAAGCTCCCATCTTCCCATTGCCTTCACTCCACAGCTCTTCCAGGGTCATCCAAGGGGGATGCATGGAGCCCTGTTATGCTACAGCTCTTGGGGAGATTTTACAGCTTCACTGGGGCTGAGATGCTCCTGATGAAAGGAGAGGATAGACATGCTGTCAGGATTTGTGACCCCCTCTCCCCTAACTTCAAAGCATTTGCCATCAGTGGCAACAGACAAGTTCATTGCTGTATTCCAAGTGGCTTGAGGCAGCGCTATTCCATAATCTAGGCAAATTGCAGAACCTAGACTAAGGCAGGATAAGCAGTAAATTAGCCTAAGAGGCTGACTCTGAGAAAAGAAAGCTAGTCCCTAATCCTGTTTTGTCAGAATACCTTTGTACTTGGGCACACAATATGCCATCATCTAGCTCCACCGTGTGTCGGGATCTCTCCTCTTGCCACAGGGGAATTTCTTTTTCCCTCACCAGTGTGGAAGCCCTAGCAATGCTCTCTCTTAATCGGGGTTTCAACAGCCACAAGCAGGACATTTGCACATAGATAGCACTTGTTACTTGTGCTGTTCGACAGCACTTCCAATTGAAACACACAGCCTCGTCTTCTCCATAGTGTGAATAGTCTGGCCTCTCTGCTGGTAAGAAATTAGCAAGCAAAAAATCGGGGCTATAAAGTTCCAGACTAGCAATGATCTATCGGGAAACCTGCCCTAAAGATAAGGGAAGGAGACATCTGGACAGCCCAGGACCCCCTAAGGCTTACATCTACCAGGGCTTCGAAAACATACCCACTTGCTCTGCAGTCATCTCCCCCAGAGACGAAATGGACCGTGTGCCCCAGGACGGTGCCTCAGGCGTCCTTCTACCCTTAGTTAAAAGAGAGAGAGGGAAATATATATATATAAAGCATATATATATATATATATATATATGTTTTAAGAGGGTTTCGCGTTGCGCTTGCAGCTGCGAGGGCTGAGCAGCGGCCTGCAAGCGCGGCGAGGCCCACAAGATGGCAGAGCGGCCTCACGGCACACGGCCCAGCCCGAGCTGTTACCGGCTGCTGCTTCTGCAAACGCCATTCTAAAAAGAACTGCTAAAATATGCCCAGACTTTTACCTTGCCGTCAGACTGAGAACGAAGCGAAATAAATACACCGTGATAGCTTGGGCAGACATTTCTTTCAAACAAAAAGCGGAAACTCTGAAGACCATCGTTCCAGGCGAGGAGTAAAAGGTTAAGTGGCTGCACAGGGTGCTGTGGCAGGAGCACTGGGGCATGCTCCATGGCTGGCTGGAGGCAGAAGGCATGTGTGTGGTCACACCAAATGCTTTAGGGACAACCCATATTCCACGTGTCCTGGCTTGAGCGCAGCCAGCAACTCAGGGTCACACAGCCACTCGCTCATGCCCTGACCACCCTGGGTGGGATGGAAAAAGGCAAACCCCACAGGTTGAGATAAGAACAGTTTAGTAATTGAGAAAAAGTTTAATAATGAAAGGAAAAAGAGAGAGGAATAAACCCCAAGACAGACGAGTGATACACAATACCATTGCTCACCATCCAGCCTGACCTAGGCTGCCTTCCCTTCCAAGTAACTCCCCCCAGTTTATATACTGGGCATGATGTGCTGTGGTATGGAATACCCCTTTGGTTAGTCTGGGTCAGGTGTCCTGTCCGTGCTTCCTCCTGGCTTCTTGTGCCCCCCCTCACTGGCAGAGTCCTTGATCAAGGTAAGCGCTACTTAGCGACAACTAAAACATCGGTGTGTTATCAGCATTGTTCTCAGGCTGAACCCAAAGCACAGCACTGCACCAGCTACTAAGGAGAAAATTAACTCTATCCCAGCTAAAACCAAGACACCATGTCAGGCAGGGCTATCATCAAAAAGAGGTGCTAAGGGATTGCAGTGGAAGCTTACGCAGGACTGGGATGACATGACCCTCACTGTGACGCAGAAGATCTATATTTTTAATATACAACCATTTTTGGGAAGAGAGGGCTTCCTTGGAAGTGGACCTGCCTTCCTTATAGTCAGATAAATAAATATGACATACCACATCACTTGGTCCTATCCCAGCCTTCCCCCCCAGAGCCAGATCCTGCCTTGAAATGGCTCAAGCAAAATCCTCCCATCTGCACCATCATCCAGGATCCCTTGACTCAGGGTACAAGGCATATGTGCTTTTGCGTGAAGCATCAGGCAGGCCCCCAGAAGCTCCCCAAGGTCTCCTGCATGGCTACCTTGTGACTTCTCAGGCAGGCACATCCTCACCTGGATTGCTACCTCCAGCCTACCCTTTTTAGCATGTGTTGGCACCACGTTGGCATGGTGTTGGGAGGCCATCTCCACCCTGGGGTGCAGAAGCTCTCAGGGGAGAATCATTACTGTTGCTACATGTGGGAAATTTCTGGCAAGTGGAACTGGTGAGTAATGCCATGCATGCCTGGGATTTTATTTAATTCTAGGATACTCATTGTGTGTATAAGTGGTCTTATGAGAAAGGAAGAAAATCCTACCTTCAGGTGCAGCTGTGAAGACAGCTCTCTGTATTGCTTTCTATATCTCAGTGAAGAAATCTCCTTAGTGTGGTCATCTTCATCTGCTGGAATCCTGACATTGTTCTCAAAAAATCACAACACCTGGAACAGCTTTGGAGTTGATACAGCCTCATTTCATCCCCAACAGTACAAGCCAATGCCCTCCAAGATGGGAAAGACCTGGCTTTTGAACAAGCCTGAAACCTTCACACTCTGAGATCCAGAGCACGTGTAGGATTTGGCTTATGGTGGACTCCTCAAGCACTTGTAGGATTTCACTTATGGTGGACTTCTCAAAGGAAACCCCACGACTATGGCTTTATAAAAAGAGATGGCCCTTGCTTGGGCTTGCTGTGGTTAAAAGCTTCAGGAAACTCCCCAGTCTTGTTCTGCCACCCCTTCATCACCACAGTCTCTCCACTCCTCCTCCCATGTGGTTCATCTTGCATCAATCCTCTCCACTGCCAGTATCCAGAGGAGAACGTGCAAGCTGTATCCTCTCCAGAAACATGGGCAAAGAGGCAAAGAAGATACTAAAAGACATGGGTCAACCTCTTTTTAACACGTCATGGGTTGTTTGTGTTTTTTTTTAATTATTCTGTTGGATTTTTTTCAATGGGAGCAGCTCTTGTCTGCTTGGGCTTTCCCATGTGGGCTTCCCCTTCCAGGCTTATATCCTCTGCTGGCTGGTGCAAGCAGCAACTCATGCAGCCAGGTTTTCTTCTTGTGGGACATCAAACTCTTCCCCATATAGAGTGCAAACAACCCACATGGCATTCACTGAGCCATGCATTTGAATGCTCACTGTTGTTGCATATTTAAGTACCTTGTAGGTTGTATCTCTTCATCCTCAAGCTCTAAAAAATGCTAAAATCAAGTGGAAAATATAGACAAACTTGTTATGCTTACTCCCTCTGTGGCTTGCCTAAAGGCGGAAATGATGTTGAGAGTTTTTCAAGTCAAACTATTGTACAAGCACATTGAAGGGAGGCACATAAGAGACTTTTACTGAAAAACTTCATTCCTGCTGAGAACTTACTGGAACAGAAGTCTGGTGATACGTAGAAAAATTACCCCACTGTTTCAAGAAACAAGAACCATCAGTCCAGCCAGAGTGAAGAAGACATGAGGGAAGAAAATCAGCTCCAATCAAGTGTGCCAGAGCATAACCCTCTCTGCAGATCTCTTCTCACACGGGTCCAAGCCCATGAAACAATTTGCAATCAATGAATGCTGAAGTCTACTGTAGGAGCAAGCAGGCCATTAATGTAACAAGTCAATAAATTCTGATGGAGCTGACATTTCTGGAAAATTAGCTGGATTGCCAGGGTAACCAAACCACAAAAGGATGCAGGACACAATCAACACAAGGAAAGATACAGACGTTTGCTGAAAAGTTTTATAGGCATGACAAAATTAAATGAAACTGGATGTCCTAGAAAACAGTTTTCACTTTCATCATGTCTCTTGGCTGGATTCCACAGCATTGCAGAAATGTTTCTACAAGAATTGATTATTTCTCACATTCTAGGCCCTGGAGAGCTTCCCATGCCACTCAGAATAGTTAGGTCTTTTTGAGTACAGGCTTAGAGGTGAGATCTAAGCCAGCTGGGCAAAGCCACCATCCTTCAATTACACATTACTATGCATATGACTGAATCCTTCTACTGCTTTCCAGAGGCACCTTCCCCCATACTTTCCCCCCAAAAAGAGAAAAAATTCTTACTTTTTTTTTCCCTTACTTAAAAATAAGTTTAGGACTTTCACTTATTATTTGGAGACCTCAGTTCAAACCCCTCTAACTTCCCATGTTCTGGAGAATCCATGCACTAGGTTAACAGCTTGTGGGCTTTGATGACAACTGGATGACAGCTCCATCCCATCATTTGCCTTGTTTCAGCTCTGACTTTGTATAAAACTACCCTCTGGAACAAGGAGAAGCCAGAAAACCTGACTTCTAGTCTGAGAGAATAAAATTTTTGTTTCATCCCAAACATATGGGGAGGACCAGATTGTCCAGTGGAGGGCCACAAGGATGATCAGGGGTCTGGAGCATCTCTCTTATGAGGAGAGATTGCAGGAGCTGGGCCTGCTTAGTCTCTTGAAGAGAAGGCTGAGAGGGGATCTCAATAATGCATGTAAATATCCCAAAGGTGGGTGCCAGGAATATAGTGCCAGACTTTTTTTCAGTGATGCCCAGTGACAGGACAAGGAGCAATGGCCACAGGCTAAACCACAAGTAGTTTCACGTCAAAATGAGGAAGAACTTTTTTATGTTGAGGGTGGCAGAGCACTGGAACAGGCTGTCCAGGGAGATTGTGGAGTCTCCCTCCCTGTAGACATTCAAACCCACCTGGACGCATTCCTGTGTAACCTGCTCTAGGTGGCCCTGTCTTGGTAGGGTGGTTAGACTAGATGATCTCCAGAAGTCCCTTCCAACACTAATGATTCTGTGAAGTGGGACCCCAGAAAAAGACAAAAGGAAATGAGAAATTCTAGATTTCCACTACCAACTGGTTTTCTGGGAGAGAAGTGTTGTTTTTAAAAGGAGATTAGAGCACTTTTCTAGATACAAATTGCAGGTATTTTGCAAAGATACCTTACTGCATTCCTCTCAATAGCTACAGCATTTACAGATTTGTACTTCTGGGTGAAAGGCACTTATCAAAAAGTTCCTGACAAGCTCTTATGTACACAGCACATCACTGACATACCCATCCCGTGTGAAATCTGTGCAAGAAAGGCAGGGTTCTTTTTCTGAAGTTATGACGAACAAATGGTGCCAGACTGAGTAAGAAGCAGCCTGCAAGATCTACTGCATTACAGAATATCAACACAGCACCATGTGCTGAGCCTGGTGGCAAAGGCAATACAAGGAAATGGGTACTAGGGAAACCAGGAGGCATGGAGAACAGGCCAGTCCAAAGCTCATGAAGATGAAACAATAACAAACAAAAAGGAAAACTACTTAGCCAAGCTACTACATGAGCCACTATGCATCATGAATTTTTATTCATGCTCTTCTAAGACAAAAGCCACTGATGCCAATCAGTACAGAGGGCTTGTGGACTGGAGAAAGGTCAGCTTTCTGGTGGGTGTTGAGAATATGTTAGTAAAGCCCTGAGCAGAGAGATACAGTCCTTGCAGATACAGAGGGCGCATTAGTGTGCCAGCAACTGGGCTGTCATTTTGATTCTTCCCTTCCGCTTTCTGCTAAGTGCTGTTTTACTCAGTCTCTCACAGGTTAAGGACAGATGGGAACCATTAGATCTTCACAGCTCCTTTGGGAACTGTTAGTCAGCCTCTTGCGTATCACAGCCCTTCAAACCTCACTGGCATACCTTGCCTGAGACTTGACTACAGTGTCACTCATGCTTTTAACTGCAGTTAGAGCACACCCATCAGAAGCATGCCAGTCTTGGCTCGGACACATCTGGAAAATGTGCCAACTGCCCTGACAGCTTGTTACAGTGATTAATCACCTGCACAGTGATTAATCACCTTCATTCCAAGAAATTTTTGGCCAGGTTTTTTTCATATGAATTCATCTGGTTTCAGCGTGCTGCTACACATTCCCATAATTTACTAGATTAAAGAGCCTTTCAGTACCTGATATTTTTCTCCCAGGGAAGTTTCTTCACCATCATAATCAATTCCCTGCTCAGTCTTTTTTGATAAGCTAGAGAGAGTGAGTGCTTCACATCTCCCATTGCAAAGCATTTTCTTCAGGCTCTGAATCATTTTGTGTGGCTCTAATGTTCCACCACCCATTTTTCAACATCAATTTAAAACACGCAAGTCATCCCAGTGCTGGTCTCACAAATACAGTACATGCTCATATCCAGTTGCTTGTCCCTTATGACTTAAAATAAATCTATGCAGAATTTTAGGCAGATGCAAGCTGGCTTCCTTCTTGCTGGCATTTAGAGCAACTGAAAAACAGCCAGTCACCTTCATTGGTGCTGCCATCTCAGCAGTCTCAGCAGGTGAAGAGAAAGCATGACAAAGCTGTCTCCCTGCTTGCTCACTGTAACATGATTCAACATTGAAAATCAAGGCTGACCCTGTGCAGGGTACACAGATATGGGCACAGATCATCTCTGGCACAGCTAGACCACATCCATGAGGATGAACTAGCCCATGGATACAGAGTGACTGTATCCAGGCTGTTAAACCTTCTTACCCATCAAAGTGGAGTAGCTGCAACTAGACTTTTTGCATCCATGCCTGGGAACTGCTTGGGAAAGTGCTAGCAGCCTGGGCCAACACTGTGCCAGGGACCATTCTGCAGTCTTGCTGTGGACCCACCTGAGTTGCAGTCCCTGGAGTGCTCTCCACCACCGCTCCCCCTTTACCAAGAGAGAGAAATGTTAACACAGAATCAGCCTCCAAGGAAGCAGGAGCATGAAGCAATTCCTTTGCTTTCTCCTTCTGAACCTTCTTTCCTCACAGGTCAGCAGGGTTTCAGATCAGACAGGTGGCAACAGGCTGGGGCATCCCTGAAGAGGCAAGATTTCCATTGCAACAGAGCTTCCAGCAGGAAGCTTCACCCAGGTATGTAAAACCAACAAAGCTGGTGGCACTTCACACCAGTTACAGGTAGAGGACGCATCCAGGCTAAGCCTATGAACCAATTTTTCTCCAATTCCAGGGTTCTCAGATCAGGAGGTTGAGGGAAGAGTGATTTTTGAGAAAAATAATCTCCCCCCAGCTCCACAGAAGGGAACAAAAATACCTGATGTCTAGTATTTTTTTAGATTTTGGCTAGAACAATAGGAACATTCTTTCTTTCCACTGATTTTTTCCCTTTCTTTTATTCTGTCAGTGGCAGAAAATGCTGAATCACAAACCTGGAGCTTTAACAAAAAAAAAAAAAAGTATTCCTATGCAGAAGAAACAAATCTTACATCATTTCATGCTTCCTGCTCTGCTCTCTGGTGCCACGTTCCTCATTTTCAGGCTGTTTTAAAGGTCAGCTTCACAGAACAAACCCTGATCTCAGACATGGGATGCATGCAGCCTCTCACTCCAGGATCTTTTCTCACATGGTTAGTTCCAACATTCCTGCAAGTAGAACAGTCCCCATCACCAAAAAAAAAAGGCAAGATATTTTTTCTTCCCATTCCCCAAGTTAATATTCACCACCAACACAGCCTCATTTATTTCTTAGGCTGGGGGGCTACTTCAGCAGTGTAATGCTATTGCCATCTATGGGCAAATAATAGTCTTACCAGTCACACATACAAGTTAAAGTCAGAATACATACTTAAACTGACAATTACTCTCAGTAATGCTTAAGGGACTTCAAAGAAGATTTTATTTAAGATTTTCCAGTACCTAAGACATAGAATCTGGATAAAAGCTAATCAAAGACAGCAATTACTTCTCATGGTATTTGTTTTAATCCTCATTGAGTATTCATTCAACTGGCTTCATTTTGCCTGAAGTATGTTATTTGATGCTATAATTTGAGCAGGCGGGTGAGGTCATGTGAAGGTGTTGATCCAGAAGCAGCATGCATACTCTACTTGTTCTGAACAAAAGAGCTGAACTTATTTAAAATTACTACTATCAATTATCCAACATTTAACAAATGATGGAAGGCACAACATGATGAACAAGCTTCAGTGCTACAGGAAAGCTGAAGATTAATTGCTTGTTTAATAGCACTTTTAAAAATGTAAGATTTCAACCTTAATAAAAGAACCAGACAATTAATATACTGGTCATAAATGACAAATATATACCAACAAAACAATCTGAAGTGTAAAAGTTACTGCAAACACTTTTTAGTTTGCTTATGCCTCAAAGAATCTGTCTCTTTTTCAGTGACCTAGAGGACCATGTTCATATGAAAAAGTTTCTATTAGTATCTGTACAAAATATAAAGCAAAACTGAAGCTCCCACTCACTGGGAGACTCTACAGATGACATTTAAAAGAAAGCACAGCACCACAGCAAGATGAAAAATGATCTTTCTGTTAAACTGTAACTAGTCAGATGATTATAATACTCTCAGGTTCATGATAAAGGTATAAAGATTGCCTCCCTTGCCTGCAGAGCTCATTGCCAGGTGGCATGAACTATGCATGGTTAACTCAGAGTCAGCCTCTACTTGTTGGTCTCTGCTGAACCACTGAAAGGAAAATGCCTGGGCCCCAAGAGCAAAGATTGCCCCACAGCTCATCATGCAGCAAAAGCCCAAAACCAGCAGCTAAGGCATTGGACCCCTCTCAGCAACTTGCCAGAGGAAGGGCACTGCAAGTCTTAACCTTGCAGAAGTCATACAGAAAGAACCAAAGCACAAAGAACTACTCTAGCAAAGTTAGAACAAAAATGTTTGGATTTGATTTCTGGAAGAAAGAGAGAGAGGTGTTTGTGAATAAGCAGAAGAATAGGCACTTCCATTGACCAAAGAACTATAAACAAAAGCATTTTCGTTCATTCCTCAATTACTTGCTCCTATTTTCTCTTGCAGTCACATGCCTATGTGGGCCTATACTGTTTGAAAACATGATTCATTAAGATGCCTTAAATCACAACCAAGTATTGTACTATTAACACTGACTTTAACTTTCCTGTTAATATAATTTGTTTCATAACTGTATCTCTTACATGACCAAATCCCCACACTGATTCCTTGAAAAGTTTTCGTTGACATGTGCACTGTTATTTCCAAAGTGCTTCAGATTTAAGGGCTTCATGCCCCACCCCTCATCATTGTTTCATTGTTTCATTTTTGCAGGGACATCCCCTTCTTTTCAGGAGGTTGAAACACCCAGTAATCTGAAACAGATTTGGTGACCCTATGGCATTAAATCATGCTTTGTGGCGCTTTATTCCCGCTCCAAAAGACTTTATGCATTAGCGAGTACATAAAATTGCACCAGAGACTGAATACGTATTGAAAAGTAATAAATGATTCCATATGTTCTTAATTTTTCAAAGCAGTGCACCACTGTTTTGAAGCAATAGGGTTTCATTTTCCAATTAGGAAGATTTTAAAATAGCCCTTCTAACCCACAGATATGGGAACACTCTCACTTAAGATATTCTCCTCAGCTGAGAGATCTGGGTGCACCAACAGTTTTCACAGTCAAATGGTGTCCTTGGTTAGCCAGCTAGCAAGGGTACAATTAGCCAAGGCAGTTAATTTCTTCCTTTTATTCAAAAAAGCTTGTGTCATCATTACTGAGAAGACACAGGTCACAAAGCCTCTGTGAGCAAACTGAATAGCATACGTTCCTCTTTAAGCTTCACGTACTTGAACATCTGTCAGATCTCAGCTACAGTTCCTCCACGGTTTTCCCTGTTTACTTCCAAGGAAAAAAAAAATCCATTTTGATAAAACAGGGCTTATAGTACCTCTACTTGGATATATCTTAAGCTTAACATGCCTACTATGAAGAGTAGCTACTGTATTTAGAAAATGCAAGGCTCATCAGCAGATCAGTTCTCAGCATGTATTCAGTTATGTGTGCTCACTTAAACAGTACCCCCCAAAGAAACAACTTAATAAAATCAAGCCCCACTCTCCCTGTCATTGGCTCTCTGCAGGTAAAACAGCAGTGAATGACTTATGCACACCTTTAACACGGCAGTTTGCCAGACTGAAGAAAATGCTTTTGCAAGGCAGGCAAGGATGCATATAAATGGAAGACTTCAACTTTCCAGATTCCAGGAGGAGTTTCCAGGGCAGCTAGCTATAATTGCGTGCCCCAAACACATTCAAGTGACATTCACGAGCCGCAAGGAACATAAGGACTTTAATATCAGAAGCAGGACAAGAACAGAACTGAGGCATTAAAGTTAAGAAATGCCCTCCCAAAAGCCCCAGCTCAACCAATGCATAATCCCAGAGGCTCTGGAGTCCTATTTTTAAATTGCCAGCATCCCAAGACACAGGACATTCTGCCTTTCACATACCCAGAACCACCCCACATTGGGCAGCTCCGTGCCCCTCCTCACCCTGGGCCCAGCACTGGAATTCAGAGCTCAGACACGTCTCCATGCAAGATGAGACCCATGTCCCAGGCTTTGCAACCTGCTCACAACACATCCAACACATACCAGTGGGCTCCAGCTCCTTATGGCACACTGCTATGATTGCTCTTCCAAGATGCAACAGCAGGTATGAGGTACCCATCTCTACAGCATTGCTAGATGTGGCATGTCTCAAACACTCAGGAAATGTGACCCCTTTCCCATTCCTCTGACTTGCTGCAGCTCCTGAGTCAGCAGCCGCTCAGTTCCTTCAGGGTGGGAGAGAGAGAACCAGCTGCAGATGCTTATCATTGACTTCCCCACCATGTGCAGAGCCGCTGACTGCTTTTGCTTAACACTCCACCAGCCCCTTTGAACCCTTTCTCAACTCCCCAGGGGGGAGAAATTTCTTCCCTCCTCCGTGTGCATCCATATCAGGAGACCCAAGGTCAACTTCTCCCCCTTCAGCCCAATGGGGTTCAGATGACTCCTTCTGACCTTCCTGAAGAGTATCTTAGCCAGGAGGTAGGCTAGCCTGAAGAATATCCACTGGGAGGGAGGCTAGCCTAACATGCACTCCCATTTTCAAACAGCCTGTTGAACCCGTACTGCTGCCTGGGGGAGAGGGTGGGGATTCAGGATTCACGGGAGCAATCTAGGAGAGGCCATGACTTAGCAATAATAACATTGCCACAGGGGAGGGAGAGGAACAACCTTGGATTTCAGTCCCCTTCTCAAAGTTTGCTCACTGTGCTTTACATCAAATGTTTGTCAGAGAACAAAACACAAAGTTCTGGGAAAAGAACCAGGAGCCATATCTCCAGCTTCTAGGCAAGTGCTCTGATCACTGCAGATACAGAATGACAGGGGAAGGGAGGTGCTTGGGACTTCTTCCTCCTGGGGCCACACACAGGAGACAATAACTATTTGGAAGAACTGAAATAGGCTCTATGTAGGAACCTGCTCTTAAAAAGAGCTGCTAGGCTGAGCCTCGGCAAAGGGAAATCCTTTCCTGTAGCACTCACTCTCTTTACCTGATCCCCGATCAAAGCTCCTGTTGTACGAGTGTGCCTTATGTTTGCAGGTAGAGGGAAGCAGGACTGTGAAAGGTGGTTATTTCAGGGCTGTGATGTGTAAGAACCACTACTATGAAGAAGGGATTGAAGCTACATCCTCTGCACAGCACCGTGTAGACAGGTCAGCCACCTTGGGGACATGTTTTGCTCCATGAAGCCAACCAACGATGCAGTTTTAGAGGTGCAGCTTTTGAGTCTGTCAGTGCTGCAACTCTAGGCACTTGGCTCGTTAGATCGTCGTTCCCAAAACGCACCCACTCCCTGTCCCTCACCCCATGTTCAGGCCTCCATTGCTTCAGGCAGGGCTGCGAGTCCCCTCCAGAGGTAGGCTTCAGCTTAGCTCTGAGACAAGGGCAACAGGGAAACCAAGGTATGGCTTTGCTCATCCCTCGGTGCAGCTGTAGCTTCTGGCTGAAGGTAACGTTCAGTGCGAGTGCCACAGTACCTTCCGGAAAGCCTTTTCTCCCAGCGCCGCTGTCAGCCGTACCCGAAGCCTGCCCACTGCTTTCCCCTGCTGAACGAGAGGGCAGCTCCGCGGGATGGGGCCCGGGCAGGGCTTGCAGGGACCGTACCGAAGCCGCCCGTCCCCACCATACATCAGCGGCCGCCTCCCCGCCAGCCTCACGACAGCCAGGCCCCGGTGGCCGCTGCTCACCCCGACAGCCAGTCCCGCAGCAGGCCGGCCCGGGGCCCAGCCAGCCCTCCCGGCCAGCCGCTGCCGCCGCTGCTGCCGCTGCCTCCAGGGTGCGGCCCGGGCCGAGCCCGCCCAAGGCCGTCACGGGGGCTGAGGGAGGGTGTTGGCTCCCATACACTAAGCACCGGGACGGCGCCGGGCTCCCCGGCCGAGCCCCCGAGCACCGGCGACACCGCCGAGCATGACATCATCTTGTTTGCACGGCGCAGCCTAGCTTGGCGCGGGCGGGGCGGCCGCCAGGAGGCGGGGCCATCACCGGGGGGCGGGGCTCTCCCCCGAGGGCGGCCAATGTCCGCTTAAACGCCCCGCTGAGGCAACTCTGCCGCGGGTCTTCGGGCAAAGCCGGCCCCCCGCCGCGTGTGGGCAAAAGGAAGGTGTTAGAGTGTAATCATGGAGCAATTAACCGATAAGTGGGTATAAGTAAGCCTTATGAGGTAACCGGGACTGGTTAAGTGACATGCCCAGGTTGCACAACGAGTCGGTGGCGAGGCAGAACGGCATTTGGCCGAACCAAGCGGGAGAGCTGGATGTCTGTCTTCACAGGTCCGTGGAGGTGTCTTGAGGGGGCAGGAGGCAAGGGGAGATGGCTAAATAGCTCCTTGAATTAAAAAGTTTATATATATATATATACATAAAAGCAAACTCTTTACCAATATTTCTCAAAAAGTGGTATAAAAACACAGCCTCCAGTATAAGACTCACAGTTACTGTTCTAGAAACTGCTGTTGCCAACATCAAGTTCTTTCATACCATTTAAGAACAAAAAAGGTAGAGTTTCTTGCTGGATTTTAGCATTTTGACTCATTTCACCCTAATGACATAAACTCAATAATCTCATGTACTCCAAAGTATTAAAAAATTATGACACAAGCTTTCTGAGCAGCGTAATGTCAGCTTAAAAATCAGGTTGTAAAAGGTTTCAAAATGTGCAATTTGTTGTTTTTTTTTTCTTTTCCTTCTTTCTTCCTGGCCTTGAAAGTATACTTGGGTCGCATCCATGGTACATCAGGAACTTGGCTATTGGTTTAAAATGAGATGCTCCTTTAATGGGACTTTAAGAACAGGGATTTCAGGAAAACATCAGCCTTGCAGGACTCATAAATAAAGCTGAGAGAGCTGGCAACACCACTATGCCCAGCTATTTGTGTCTATTATTAGGTGTACAAAACACTTAGAAACCTACTTCTATCCATGAGAAGCTGAGAGTCTTTCTTGGCCTACAAGATGTGTGACATTGCGGCAATGAAGCTTCAGCAGATGCAAGGCTGCTATAATTACAATTTCTGAAGCTATAGGGTTGAATTTTCCCGCTTCCTCAGCTTCACAGCTCCTTATTCGACCATTTCTGGGGGTAGGTTTCATTGTAAACACTGTTTCTTCCAGAAAGGTGATGCTGTTTTTTAGTGTGGATGTCTGCGGTCACTGTACTTCACACAGCACAGAAATGGGTCAAGAATTCTTCAGCAGTGGGTGCTCAAGTTTAAGTGTGTGCAGAGCTGAGTGCTTCCCGCCTTAGAGCTCAGTCCCCAAACTGTCAAGATCACTTGAGGAAAGAGTTCTTCTCTCCACAGTAGTAGTATCACTGTTTCCTTCTGCTACTGCGCTTCCTTCCCCTCCCATCTGTTACAGCGGTCAGCCAACCAGTTCACAGGCTGAAGTCCAGCTTCAATTGATCTTTAAATAGCTGTTCATCACTTTGAGGAAAATTTTATAGTCAGAACTCCATAGTCATCTTTGGCAAGCCCTTCATGTCTCCGTTGGCGCACTTTGGACCCTTGCTCTGTGTCTCTCTGCCAGTCAGCCAATGTCCCTGTAATAACTGTGGAACCCATTAGCTAGTTTTAGCCAAATTGGGCAGAAAAGTTAAAGTCTCAGAGCATGAAGTTGGCTGGCTTATAGACAATGTTTCTTTCTAATCCGTACACAGGTTGCTCTGATCAGCCACAAAAACCTACTCTGCCCTTTGCCCAGTCTGTGTTCAAAAGACGTATTAGGGAACTGTGGGAAGAACAAAAAATGCACTGCAGAAGCTGCTCTCTCAGGGGGTGGCTGTGAGGGGTAGACATGCTTACTGCAGTGGGCACAGACTTTTCAGAGACCAGCTTGCAGGTGGCTTACAAAACAACCCATCATAATCTTCCTTGTGTGAAGTCCACATTGACAATGCAGCCATTGTTTCATATAAGTGCAATATAACATTATTTTATTGAGCAGCAGTACACTTTACAGCAGATTTCTATAATGACGTAATGACAAGAAATTCCAGGCCTGCTTCATTTCCCTGAAGCAGTATGCCACAGGCCTCACATCCCATGCGTCCTGCGTGGTCCATGTACGGCTGAGATCACTCACAGAGGTGACTTGGAACTGTGATCTCACCAGGTCCGTATAATCAGGTACTGTGATGGGTACACGTGTTCTCAGTAAAAACTGTTGCGGGAGTCTTAGATAACAGGTGATGATGTGGAGGAAGATGCAGCACTACCCTGAAATACAGTCTAAGTAGGCACAGTGAGTGAGGCTTTCAAATGGCCTCAGGGCTGGCCTAACTTTATTCCTCTTGAAGTCAGTGATAAAACTCCCATAAATTGAGCCTTTTTGAAAATTCCACCCTTGAGGCATTACAGTACTTAAGGGAAGAGACTGGAAATCATGCAGGCTTTAGATCCAATTTTGATCAGTTTTTGTATGTCTTTCAGTGGGCCTAGCCACTAAACAGCATAAGAAGGGTTCTTCCGTTTTTCTGGTTTGCTCCTGCTAAGTCAAATGTGTAGGAACAGTTATACTGTGGTTTTAATTCTGCTGCTAAAAGCAACATCATGGGCACACTCATGCTGTGTGGAGTTGTAAAGAACTGGTACTGTGACTTACGGGATGAAGGTTGATATGCCAGTGAATTCTGAAAAGGGCAGGTAATCTTGCAGTAAAGGCCAAGGGCTGGCACTCGGGAGATCTAGTTTTATTTCTCATTTCTGACACAGGCTTCCTGTATGACCTCAGCACATGTAATTGCTTGGTGCCTCAGTCCATCATCTCTTTAATAGGGTTACTACTTACTTATTTCCTTTCTCCCGCCCTGGTCTGCCTTACTTAGACTGCAATTCCACCAGGGAGTGGAGCATTTCTTACCACGTGCAGGGCCTTCACCCGGTACAATGAGACCTAATGGCCATGCCTGTAGAGTAATGCAGTGCCAATTAAATAAATAAATGACGATTATAATATCATTTAGGACTAGATTTGTAGCTTGTTATCCAGCCCAAGGTCAAACAGCTGTTTTTCTCTGGACCCTGGAGTCCTAAGGAAGCACTCCATGGGGAGGGTTCTGCAATGAGCAAGATGAACCCCAAGCAGCAGCAGGTTTTGGGAAGAGGCTGAGTGTCGGTCACAGCTTCAAGGCCAGCCTTCTCTGGGTAACTGCTGAAAGTCACAAGTAGAGGCTCTTTGGAGGTGTGGTGTTGGATGGACTAGGCATCCTCTCATCATGCACGGCCTTGTCTGATCTCGGCTCCTGGCTCTTCATAGCTACCACAGCTCTCCTCCCCTACCAACTGCTAAATCACACAGACCAACACCAGTATCACGACTGCAGAGAAGCTAGTGTCTTTCTGAGCTGCCTTGCATTCCCCGAATTGTTACAGCAAAAGCTGTGGCAGGGCATACAACATCGTGACCCAAAATGGAGCTGCAGTGAAAATTATTTCCATTACTCGAACCTGCATTCATTCCAATTAATTCAGTGTCTCCTACTATATTTAGGTAACTAAGGATTAATTGTATGCATGCTGAAATGTTGTCCCTTGTAATAAAATCATGCCGAACTATTCCTAACTTAAGTGCCACTTGAATTTGAAACCTAACTAGACCCTGAGGGCCTTAGGCCTTACTTAGCGGGATGTGTAAGGCATGCAGGATCAGGGCCTTGCTTGTCTTCTAATAAAACCTAATGCTTTTCAAATCTCATTGCTTGTCTATAATGCTAAATAAATCAGGAATAACTTAATTTGTCTGCTAATTGTGCCCAGTGACGCTCCAGCAGCACACCTACTTCTCAATACCTGCAGTGGTCTGTATCCAGTATAGGAGACCACACTACTGTTGTGCTAAATCTATAGTTTAGGTCAATACAAAGCTAGGTGAGAACTGATACAGCTATGCTGCTATGTAATGTATTTATAGCTACATACATATTAATAGTTTTATGTTCCTTGGCTTTGTGGGTCACCCCTTTATCCAACCCGTAATTAACTATGTCTTCAAGTGAGCTACTTTGGAGGGCTTTCTGCTAGGGCATGCCATCCGAGGAGAAAGTACAGCAGGATTATATTCACATGCAGACATGTCTGAACATGCTCCCACATCACCCACAGGGGGAATGGAAGTTTTAAAATAAAATTACTAAATTGGACTCCAAATGTAAAGTTTACCAAGTAACTCGTGCACCAATAACTTGTGAAGAGTGCAAACAAGTCAGAAAAGAATCAGCGTGCTCTTTCCCCACCGTGACGGGCAGCCAGGGCCCGGTTTACCGAGGTCCAGGCACTGCGCTGAAGCTGTGCCCCTGGCGGGCCAGGTGGGCCTGACCAGGGCAAGAGGCATGCATAAGCGATACCTCTGGTTCTGCCCTTTAAAACCTAGTAAGAGCAGGGAGCCGGAGCTAACGCAGCCCTTGGAAAGAGTTACAGTATGCTTCGAGACCTAAGCGCTTCCCGCCGCCTTCCCGCGGTCCGAGCAGCGCGGCACGGCCCCAGGCCCGGAGATACCGAGGGAAGGAGAGCAAGCAGAGCCCACCACCCGCGCGTCCCTGCAGGCTCTCCTGGTCTCCCAGCCCCGGCGGCTCCCCTCGGCCTGGCGCTCCCGCCCCATTGGGGCGGCCCCTGAGCGGCACCGCCCGCCCTCCGCTGGTGGGCGGGCCGTGCCGTGCCGTGCGGTTAGGTTGAGGCTCCCTGCGTGTGTCTATAACTTTGTGTTGCTGCCGGTGGTTGTTAGGGGGAGGGATGTGGAAGCTGGTGGCGAGCAGGGTGACAGGCTATTCGGGCGGGCGGCGGCGGGCGCATCGGTTGCTTGTCGCCGGTTGCTCGCAGAGGGAGCGGGTGGCTCGCTGCTTCCCCCTCCTTCGCCTTTAAAGGGAAGGCTCCTCGGAGCTGAAGGCGCAGGAGCAGCAGGAACCATGCAGCAGCGCTGCTTCTTCCTCCCGTGAATTTGGAGCTCGAGATCTGTCGGTGTGGAGGTGGCTGTTGATTCTCCCCCACCCCACCGCTCGCCCGCCCCTCCTGATGTGGCTCTCCCTGCCTCTTCTGCCTGCGCTTTTTAAATGACTTGAGTGAAAGGGGGGGAAACTGTCAAGATGGCAGCAGCAGGAGCAAGGAGGTTATGAATGTGGTGTTGATGCTGGAACAAAACCTATTCTCTTTGGCAGCCCTAGGGAGGACTTAATGCTTCTGGACCTGTTGGAAGACTGCGATTTGATTTCTTCCCGTTGTGTTTGCTTTTTCCCTGCGAGAAGAAGGATTTATTATTATTTTTTGTTTAACCGACCAGCCCCCGGGGTGGCCTTTTACCGCCCCTTGCTCCGTCGGCTGTGAGATTTTGGGGGGTTTGCTCGCGTGTGGTTTGGGGGGCACCGCAAAGTGACAGGCTTACGCTAGTATGCAGTTGGGTGTATGCTAAGACTTCTCCTCCTTTCAGGGCGTTCTGAAGAAGGAAAAAAAGTCTTTGGCGTAATCCGAAGGACCCCTCTCCCTGCCCTCCTGCCGAGGGAGGGCGCAAAGGACCACCCTACTACCCCAAAAGGGAAGATATCTGCGGAAGCGACCAGGAGCGAGCTCGGAGGCGGTGGGGGGTCGTCTCCTGACTGGAAACAGTGCTGTGCCCGCTGGAGCTACTTCTGCATACGCATGGAGTGAAACATAAACAAACGCACACGGGCACCGCGGGAGCGGCCACCGCACCGCCGCCGCGGAGGGCACCTCCGGCACCGCCCGGCCCCGCGCTGCCCGCCCTGCGCTGCCGCTCCGGCTCCTAATCGGATTTCGGATTTTTTTCCCCCTTCCCTCCCTCCTCCTTCCCCCACCCCTCTCCCCGGCGTGCGCAGCGCCCGAGGGCAGCGGGCTCCGGGTGCGGCGGAGCGCCTGCCAACCCGTAGCGGTGAGCGGCATGCCCGCTCGGCGGCCCCCCTCCTGCTAGGCTCCCGTCGGCACCGAGGAGGCGGCGGAGGAGGAGCGGGGTCTGCGGCCGCCCGCCCGCCCCGTCGCAGCGCTCCCCCGCCGCCGCTGCAGCCACCCGCGGGGGAGGCCAAGATGGCAGAGGCGTCGCCCCCCACCCCGCTCTCACCTCTGGAAGTGGAGCTAGACCCCGAGTTTGAGCCACAGAGCCGGCCCCGCTCCTGCACCTGGCCCCTGCAGAGGCCCGAGCTGCAGGCCAGCCCAGCCAAGCCCGCCGGCGAGCCGCCCGCCGACGCCGCCTCCATGATCCCCGAGGAGGAGGACGACGAGGAGGAGGGGGGCGGCTCGGCCATGGCCGTCGGCAGCACGGCCCCCGCGGGCAGAGAAGCGGCGGCGGCCACCAGCGTCCCGGAGGAGGCGGCGCGGCTGCTGGCCCCGCTGCCCGGAGCCGGCCCGGAGGGGCCAAGCCTCTCACCGGGTGGAGCGGCAGCAGGAGGTGGGGGGCTGACCGGGGGCCCGGCGGCAGCACCGAGGAAGTGCTCGTCTCGGCGCAACGCGTGGGGCAACCTCTCCTACGCCGACCTCATCACCCGCGCTATCGAGAGCTCCCCGGAGAAGCGCCTCACCCTCTCCCAGATCTACGACTGGATGGTCCGCTGCGTGCCCTACTTCAAGGACAAGGGTGACAGCAACAGCTCGGCCGGCTGGAAGGTGAGGGGGGTCCAGGGTCCGCGGCGAGACCCATCGCGCCGCCCCGACGGGCGGGCTGCAGCGGGGGATGCCGCGGCTTCCTCCGGTGCAGCCGGCGGAGTGCTGCGACGGGCCGTGCTGCTGGTCGCCCTGTTCCCTCTGCTGGTTTATTTATTTATTAATGAAGGGAGGGGGTAAGAAAAGTTTTGTCTTTTTCCTGTTGTTGCGTGCAGGCGGTGAGGGCTCCTAACTCTAGGAGCAAGGAAAACGCTGGAGCGGAGCTGGCTTCTTTCGTGCACAAGCACATAAGCAGGGGAAGAAGAAGAGGAAAAAAGAAAGGAAAAATATTTGTTATGGTGTGTGTGGTGGTGGTTGTTTTGTTTTGGTGTGGGGTTTTTGTTTGTTTCTTTTTTTTTTTTTTAGAGTTAGACGCGCCTTCGGTGTAACTCGTGCTGGAAATAAGCAGAGTTGCTTTTGTGCAGGGTCAGTCTGAGTCTCAGAGCTCAAATACAAAATGACTATTATTTTCGTCTAGAAAAGCCCCAGTGGTTTCCCCACACGTTCCTCAAAGGCAGTAGAGGGAAATTCGGGTCTTGACATTTCTTCCTAAAGTTAATCAAAGCGTGGAGTTGTTGGCTGCTCAGCCACGGGAATGCTTGGTTTGTGATTCTTGCGGTGTCAGTGCATGAGGGCACCGTCTGATGATAAATCTGAGCATTTTCTGTCCAGCGCTGGGAAGGTTAGCAGCTAAGATTACTACTCTTTTAATAAGTAAGAAAACAAAAACCCACCTGTTTTTGAGGCTTGTTTACTCAGCTTGTGCAAAAGCACGTTGCAGGCAGGCAGGGTTTTACTCTCGGTCTAGGAAGGCCTACCAGGAGCCCGTGCTGCACCTAAAGCATATTTGAGGTGACTTTCAGAGCTGCTTTTTTTCTTCCTCATTTTCCACATCTATCTATTAGTGTCTGTTGGATGCTAAAATGTCACGTACTCGCTGCTACACAGAAATACAGGTGCTACTTGATGTCGATGCTGTTTGCAGAGGGAAATCCCGGTATGGCTCAGTAGCTGCCGAGGGCTGATACTGGCAGCATCTGCGACAGAGTTTTTGAACGGATGGCTGAAGGCGAATTTGCCGGGGTTTTATTGTGTTATAGAGAAATTACATTTCTTCTTTCAATCTCTCTAGCTTTGGATCGGGGGATAACTTAGCGTATACAAGTCAGTCAGAAGTACCGTATGGGTGAAATGAAACATTTCTGGCAGTTTTCATATTAGCAGCCCTGTTTCATGTTTTGGTGCCTGAGTAGGACTTGCTGCTAGGAACTGAAGTACAGCTGTGTGATCTTTTCCTTTCCAAATGGAGCACTGTAGAGAAAGCATTTCACTAACAGACTTGTCTCAGGCTGGGGAAAATAGCAAAGTTTATCAGTGGCACAACTAATTCAAGACAAGGTTTTTAAAAACAGAGATCCCTTTTATAGCTTTTGCGTCTGTATTAGATGTTGAATTTTGGTCTGATTTCACAAGTGCGACATGGAGTGTGATAAAGGGTTACATCTTCTGATGACAGCCGGTGCCTTTCATAAATTGTTTGGTTTCATGCAGAAGCAGTGGCTGTAGATGTCATCTGCTATGTCAAATGAAGTCTTTTTATCTGATACTTCGAGTTTTCAGTAAATTCTGGATACCTGATTGAAGCGAAGACTTGTCAAACAATGGGGCTGATACTGTTTCATCTGAATTTGGTGGCAGAGCTCCCATTCGTTTCAGCAGATGCAGGGTCTGGGCCATAACCTGAAGTGCTTACGTTGATTAGTATGCTTAATACAGTCACAATTTTTCTGACAATTTACACTGTTAATTTGATATTGATTCCATTGCTGAGCAGCATTAACTGGTACTTTGAGCTAATTAAAATGTTAAAAACTTGGATCCCTTGAGATTCCTCTGATATAATTTAGTTCAGAAGTTTCTCACAAACCTTTAAGATGACTTTTATCAGGAGATGCTTGCATACTGGTAGCAGAAAACTCAGCCTCCTTAATGACTGTGAGGTGTCTCTGGAAGTCTGGGTGAGGCGTTTTGACTGTATTAACGGTGGGTGCAGTTGTTCACAGGTAGTAGGGGCATGCTGAAAGGGGCTAAGGAGAGGTCAGGAGCTAATAATTTGCCAGGCATCCAAAACAGCAAAATTTAATTCCTTAGCAGGGCTAGAATTTCTTTTAATGTATGCCTGTGCATTCAGAAGAGGACTGTTTCAGAACAGGACTATTTCAATTTCTTAGCTGGAACATAAATTAGTTTGTGCAAGAAGAAACACCTAAATAGAGACTCCATCTTAGTCTCCTGATGCTGAAACACATTAGATGTTATTATCATCTTTGTTTCCCTCACAGGTAATGAATATAACTCTTCAGGAACTCATGTCAGCTTTTCACACCAGACTTTTTCAGATTGCTAGTTACACCGAGATTTTAAATGAACAGAAGATAGTTCTGTATCAGGAGGCTTTTATCTTAATTTAGAATATTTTTACACAGCTAAATTCATCTTTGAAGGCAGCAGGCCCATTTAACAATGTTCTGCTCTGGCACTGAGTGCGAAAATTGTCACTTGAAACAAAGGGAAGAAAAGAACTTGGGTTTATTATCTTAGGTGTTATTATATATGAAATATTAATCTGTTTCTAGTGTGCTGTTTCTAGTGAGATGTGCTGAATACCATAATCCATAAACATAGCTGGGATTATACCCCTCAAAATAATTATTTTAAGAGCTATGAAGTTACAACTATTGCTTTTTCTTTCTTTTTTTTTCCTAGGGCATTAAAGCAGAAGTGACTATTTCAGATGTGGTTAGGAAGGCATATATTACGTTTCCGCTAATTTAGATGAGGTTTGCCCAATACACACCCCAACAATCTCCTTTGTTCCCGGCCCTGGTGGGACATCAGCTAACCTAATACTGCCTGACAGCTAGCTAGGGCAGTAGTGTGCGGTGCATTGCTGTAGAGCTGGCACACTGTGGGCACTGTCATGTACCGTGGCAGCCAGGTTTGATACAGCCCTGTGTACTTCCAAATCACCAGGAAGGGTTTAGATGCATGCTTCAGTATCTTCAGTAAGTCTTGAATACTGGGGGGTTGATATTTATATTTATCATCAGTGGAGGAGGGCAAAGGTATGAGGGTGAGCTGGTGAAATGCAGTGTCAGGCGGCAGTTGCAGGTAGCTCCACAGAACTTCTCAGTGACCAGATCTACCCGTCTGTCCAAATTCAGGTATCCGTTACACTGTCAGTGTCCTGCAGTCACAAAACTAGTGTGCTGACTTAAAAAGCAGGTGGGTTCTCCCCCTCTCCACCCTGAGACATTTTGGATACTGTAACTCCACTGACTAATCTTGAAATAGAAAACTGAAGCACCGTTATGCCCATGTATATAGTAGGGGTGCCTGGTTTCACTATAGCTTAAGTACTTCCACATCTCTTCCTATAATGTTATTTTGTAATTTCTTGCAGCACTGTCTTGTGAAACAGTCTTTTCTACATGAAGAGTACACTAGGGGGACTATTTTCCTCTTTGTTGAGCAGTATGAATCTGGTCCTTCATAAACAGATACCAGCAATTCCCAAATTTAAATGCAGCTGATTTGCTTTGATTCAATTTTTTTCATATCAGAAGTCTGATTGTTTTACACCTGTTGGATTTATCTTCCTTACGAAAGATAAATACAAGTTTCTGGGATATTTGCTCAGAAGAGGAGATTTTTGTAAACTTTTTACGTGGACATTTCATCATTTCTCACCATGTTTTATTAACCAGTATGTACTGATGGGCTGCAGTCCCTTCAGCGCAGCAGACGCACGAGTCTCTTCCCCAGTTGTTGAGACTTGAGAAATTTGCCAGCGATGTAGACAGATGTCTAAATCTGTTAGCCAGATGCTGATATGCAAGATGTGTCGGACTTTTTTATCATCTTTTGCGAAGGATGTGGGAAGGAAGCAACACCACTCTGTTCTTATTTCTCTTTCTTCGAAGTGGCACCGAACGTCTTTATCAGGAGAGGCAGCGGAAAAGTGGAGTTTGCATCAGTTTCATTTTTTTTTCTTCATTGTCTTTTTTCTTTTTCAGGCTGTTTTCCAGTTGACTGCTAGCATGAATATTTTTCCAGCCTTCTATTCTACTTTGTTTTTTTCTAATTTTGAGCTGCCTCATTCCAGCTGTACAGAAGGGTCTGAGGTACAAGCTGTAGGCTGATTATTTTAAGTTTTGATCTACACAAGCAAGCACGGGTTTAAGCATGTGAATGGATCCTTGGGGCTTCACTTGGATTACTTGTGTGCTTAACCCTACTGCTTAAGCATCTTACCTGATCAAAGCCTTACTATGTTGTGCTTTAACAAAATACTCGGTAACATTTCTAAGTGAATTTTGTGCTGAGCAATGTGTGGTTCCAGCCCCAAAGTTGAAACTGCTAGATTTAACAAGCTTCTTGCATCAAAGAGGAACATTCTTCAGTATCAAAGTAACAAATGATTTCTTAAACTTTCTGGTAGAAACCATATGTAGATATTAGCACACATTATTATTTTATATCTGTAATGTACATCAAAGATCTCGCTTTTCCCCTTCTCATGCAGGCAGGTGACAGCTGTTAGAGGAGAGAAAGAGACATGGACTATATCTCCCAGAATCACTGACTTTGATTCAGAGTGTGACAGTGAGGAGCACCTTCACTGAAGGACTTGTTAAATGTAGATATAAACACATTGCCTTGGTGAATGTCATAAACTGCAAGGAGTCACAGGCTCTGATAAACCTAACTTCTTATGTGAATGGGAAACCCCCAGTGAATGATGCTGGATAGTATCACTGTCAGGTAGATGGGTATGATAAATAGTGGAATCAGTGTTCTTCAGTTCTTTAGAGACAGAAGGTTACCTAAAACAGTCACATAACATTAACATTGTCTGAAATCAGTTACTAGTGTCCCTATTTAAGCATATTTAAAATAGAAGC